TTGTGCTACTTCTCTCCTCTGTACCGGAGCTTGAGAGGGAGCTCATCAGCAGCCCAAAGCAGAGACCTATGGGTCTGACTTCTGTCTCCATGCCTTCCAGTGCAAGGAGGGGCACGAATTCAGCTGGTTTGTTGTTTGTTTAGCCCTGTAGGCACATGCAGCCTTGCACGATAACTGTGTTTGCAGAGCAAATAAGGCCCGACGAGCAGAATTCACCATTTCTCTGATACTTGCAGGAGTGAATCAATGCTACCTAATAGCTCGGAGCGTGAGCCCTAAGTGCTGAATAGGACTGTTCATTTTGCCTTGTAAACACAACTGTTAATCTCTCTGGGGATTTAAAAAAAGCAAACTTTAAAAAAGCGTGCCTTTCAGCTGGGAAATGGAGGCAAGAATCTGCTAAAATGGTAAGAAAAAAATGGAGCCATTATCACTTGTGAAAAGCTTGCTGCTTGAAAGCCTTGCTTCCGAGCCCCTGCAATATGCTGAGGGAGGAAGAGGACAGTTTCATACACCGATGATGTCTTGTCTGTGCCCAGAATACCTGCCTCTTGAATCCCACAGCAGAAACCCAGCGGGTTTTGCTGTACAAGTGTGAGAGAGATTTGTGTGGATGTCACAGCCCGAATGCCTGTGGGAATAGTTCGGTGAAAAATAGTGCGTGTGGTTATTGCACGTGCGGCGAATATGGCGTTGAATGCAGCGTTTAAAGAATCGTTAACATCTTGTCTTGGTCATGTGATGGGTTTTCCTGATGGGATTCAGCTTTGGGCTCTTTGAAGTGTTTTAGCCAAGTATTTACTATCTGACTGTATTACAGTAAATGCAGATCATTCACACTGCTGGCTTTAATCCCTCTTCCTTGGCCACATTCCAGCCTGGGTGATTTCATTTTTGCCTGTTGATGCCTAAATTCCTTATTGCCTTTTTCAACTGCTTCTTCCCGTCGTGTCCTGCCATGCAACATCACGTTTCTGCATGTCGGTAATCAGCCGGCGTCTTCCATCCCAGAGATGACTGCAGTTCAGGGGCTGCTGCAATTCCCTTCCAGCTCCTCCAGGCTGTTAAACAAGTGATGTCATTGCTTTGCTTAGCGAGTGTCACTTTCTCTCAGAAAGTCAATAAATGCCTCCACTTCCTTTAGTACACGCCTGTGAAATGTGGTGGAAAACAAGAGGCAGTTAATAGCAGTTCTTCCTTTGAAATCCACACCGGGAGAGAGGGCTGGGCTGCTCCGTTTAGCTGTAAAAGGGGATGCCTCCCCTCAGAAGAAATGCACCCTGGGTTGCTGCCCAGGGCCTTGCACTGCCTGCCCCGTGCCCCATCCTTCTGGCAGGCAGTTTGTGGGATGTTGTGCTTGCAGGAGGGCACCAAATCCCAGCTTTCAGCACCTGGATGCAAAACTTGGGGCAGGATGAATTCCCCTCTGGGAGCTGAGGGTTGAGCACAAGAACAGTCCCAGAAATCCCAGCTGACAGACGCTTTAGTGTGAACTCCATCACCAGATGCCAAGTCGGTCCAGGTCTAGGTGGAAAAAAGAGCCACAATTGCACGGAGCCATGAAGATAATGAGCACAGGGCAGGCTTGTGCATAGCAGGAGAGGTAGCACCGATGTCGGTGCTATTTTTACCCCCACCCCACTTCCTCTCCAGGTTTATATTTAGCAGTCTGTAGCTGCTGGCGCTGCAGTCGGTGGCAAGAGGGGGGAAGGTTTTGGACTGCAATTCGTGGAGCACAGGTTTTTGTCAGTGCTAAGGTGTTTGCCTTCTGAACCGTTCGCACCGTTTTGAGGAGAGCGAGTGGACAGGGAGGGAGGTGGAAAGACCCCTTCCCCTCATCCGCTTCCTCACCCACTGGAGATGGAGCATCCTTTACATTCCCTGTATCTGTCCTGGTCCTGGACCTGAGGGCACTGCTGGAGGTTATGGGTTATGGGGGATTGTCAGAGCAGGGGTTGCTCACACTGAGCACCTTCCTATGCCCTGGTCCTGAGGTGTGGGTTGCTGTCCTGACCATCCCATGCCACTCCCTGCCAGGGGGACTTTGTCCCCAGCGCCGCAGGGTGGCTGCTGTCCTTTGGGCACGGCCTGCATGGGGGGGCAGCCTCCAGCCCAGTCCCTCCCAGTCCCTCCCAGTCCCTCCCAGTCCCTCCCAGTCCCAGGAAAGGGAAGGGTGCTCAGAGTTGGGATCTGTCCTCTTTGGTCTTGCAAATTGTTATCCAAGAGCTGGATACTCTTCTTTCCTCCACTGTTAGGGGTGCACAGCATTGCTAAATCTCTCTGGAAACACAGAGCCTTCCTCTCCAGGCTGTGATTTAGGCATCCTGGGGGACTGGTGAGGGGCAATCTCATGCAAATCTTTCTCTCTTCCCTGCCAGTTTCTGGGGAAGGCAGCCTGGTATCTGCAGGTGGATTTGAAGGCAGGTAATGGCAGCACTGGCCCTGCGAGTGTGTCCTTGTCCTTGCACAGACATATGCAGGGGTTGCTCAGGATGCTACCAGAGCGCGGTTCATTAGTGTAACCTTCACCAGAGATGTGTGGAAACTTGCTTATGCCCTAATTTGAAAGGATAATCACTGGGGCTTATCTGAAGAGTGTTCAAAGATTGTCTTTGGTTTGAGCCTCTGATGTACCTGCTGTGAGCATCACGGATTTCCCCCGAGTTCCTGCTTCCTATTTGGGAGTAAACCAGTGCATAGCGCAGGAGCCTCCGTGGCTTTTACCGGTGCCACTTCAGCAGCATCAGCATGCACAGCTGGAGCAAAACACTTCAGGTGCCTTTAGTTCCTGGGGTGCCTGCAGCACCAGCGGCATTTCCACACACCAGCAGTGCTCCGTTAAAACGTGCTTAGCTTGCGAGGTAAGGAGCAAGACCGGATGGGAAATGGTCTCCAAAGCAAGTGTCAAGCTTTGCCTTCCCTTCAGAAGGAACAGCGCTGCTCGGAGACTTTATTCATGGTCATGAGGAGAACACCAGCATGGAGACTTTGTTAATGCAGCATTCGCTAGTGCCAGCATCTTTGTTGTCAAAGCATGTTTCTGTAGTGCCGAGAAAACATTTAAATGTCTGAAGCCTGGAGTGGATGTGTCTGGCATCCTCCCGCCTTGCTTTGCAACTCAAAGCAGCCTCCAGCTTTCCTTCGACTCCCAGCCAAGCGCCCCAGCCCTGATGCCAGGTACACAAGCATGGCAGTCGAGCCTTCAGATTTAGGTTTTTGCGGCATTAAGGGAGGGAGATGAGTGGGGATGGTTGAGGGGTGCGAGTCCCCAGGACTCAGGTGAATCCCAGGGATTTTCAGGGGATTGCACCCACCGCAGGGTGCCATACCTCACAGCAGAGCATGGCAGACACCCAAACGCAGTGTTTGCAGTGTTTATATTGCTGACGGATAATCTTTTAAGCTTTCAGATGCAGGCATGTCAACCCAAGTGTTCCCGTTGCCCTGGTGACGCGATGCATTAGCTCCTGGATGCTGTGTCTGATCGCATCAGTCAGGAATGCGATCACCGTTTGTGCTGATAACCCCAGGACGGGATGGGGGGCTGGGAAGGTGTGGGGAGAGCTGGGGAAGGGGCTGCTCGGCTGCAGTGGGGACACACAGGATTAGGGGTCTGACCTCCTCCAGGGATGTGGGAGAAGTCACAGGAGGTGTGTGTTGGTGCGGGAAAGAACTGCTCTGTGTAGCTTTTGGTGCCCGTTTGGTACCACGGGATTATTTTCCCCTTAAGATTCCCCCTTGGGCTGGTGGGGTCAAGCAGCATTAAAGGAGTCCAGTGCTGTGATGGAAAATCCCTCACCAGACAGGTAGAGGCTTGAGATGGTGAGGGCTGGTGGAGGAGCAGCCCTACGCTTATCAGATTGGGAACGGGAGAGGGACAGACCCAAACCTCCTCGGGCCTGGGACTGGAAGGGGCAGAGCTGTGGCTGGGTGGGGGTGAGACACTGATGCCTCCAGGTCTGGGGAGCGGGGGGCATTGGCTGTTTGCTGGGTCTGTGCTGGGCAGGAGAAATAACACCTGGGTAGAGCCGGGATGAGGCTAAAGACCAAGCCATGCACACACAGCTCTTGCAGCCCGGCCCCATGGGTGCTGCTGGGATGCAGACGGGGCTGGCAAGAGCCAAAGCAGGAAAGCCAAAGTAACGTGTGGCTCCGAGACGCCCAGAGCGAGCACCCTCAGCCTGCTCGTGGCTGCTCGGGCTCGGCACACTTCGCCATGTGCCCCTGGAGGGTTTTCTTCGTTTAAGGGTTTTACTGCTTTAATCAGATCCCTGGCTAAGGCGATTCTAATGCCCGCACAGGATGAGTCATTCAAGAGCTTTCCAGCGAGCTGTGAGCTCAGAGCAGCTCCCCTTGCTGTGGCTCTCGGGGATCCCCCCGGCCCGTACTGGCTCTGCTCAGCATTTTGCTGCTGGCTCAGGAAGTCTTTCTTGCAAGGGCAAAGCAGAGACCAAACTGCTGGGGGAAAGGAGCCTCCTTTACAGGGAGGAGCGCGGTATTGAATCTTTGCCGTCTCTGTTTACTCTTCCTCGCTTTTCTTCTATTTCTACCCTGCTTTTCCCTGTTCCAG